ATTACCACCAAAAAACAATACTAACCAAGCACTTAACTACGCTTAACCTAATTCCACTAGACAAGTCGCAACCCAAGACAAACCCCAATTCAGCATTTTCACAAGGGAGCACACCGATTCCCATTACACAACCCCAACAACTTCTCCATCTACTCAAGAGGCTCAACAAATCCACAAAAGCCCAACAAAAAACCACAAAAGCCCAACAAAAAGACAAAAGCCCATCCTAAAAAGGCGAAGCAGCAATTTCCTTGCATCACCCACAATCTTCAGTCGAAACAGAAGGCCGACGATCCAACGAATTCAACATGAATCTCTATGTCTCGCACAACCTAAAATCGTGATCCGTAAAGACAGTGGCGGATAGGTCACCCGTCGTTCACACAATCGGACAAACCGAGAACAACCCATATCACACAGCAAGGCAAACCAAACAGAATTGGACACGAAGTGCAGTTCCACTGCTCTGGGAACCGCAATCAGGGACGGTGGCTCAAAAGGCAATCAGAAAAAAGCAGCGCAAAAAAAAGCGAACCCGATATCCACTGGAAAACCCAATCCAACCCTATATACATAATAGCTAATCTAACAGGCGTGCCATTCATAAGCAGAAGCCATAACTTCGTCGAAGATCCGAAGACTGGGAAGTCGTGAGCAGCACCACGTCCGAAGCAGGAGTATCAGCTAGAGTGAACAAACCGTGGTCGAGGCTTAAACCCTGTGTTAGCAATTCGCCAACAGCTCTGGGCGATACCAATCGCAACGAACAGTCCACCATCTCTCCCGGAAGTCGACGCTTGTTGATGCACTCTCGTTGTTCGTCACCAGCTCCGCACTCGGATGAAATCGCGTCCGCCTTCACAGCACAATCGTAGTAACAGTTGTGTATCTGCAATCAGCGGGCAAAGCCCCTGATCAGTTCATAATTCTGGTATGCACGGCGCGCAGATCCTGTCCGTTGACCGCCCCCACATCTCCCCCTTCCTCTCACGGTCAATCCAGGATTGCCAACAATCGTTGACCAAGACTGGCTATGGCAAGTGCATGGTAGTGCCCCGCGAAGCGGCCTCCACCTCAGCGCCCTTACGCTCTATCACTTCACCGCCTCCGCCATACCCAACAGCAAGCTCTGGCTAAGCATAGCTTAATGACAGCTACCCCGTGCGATCCCCCGCTGCCTGCGCGCCGTGGTAACGACGTGCTAACGCAGCGTTACCGCTGCGTTAACGCTTTGCCTTTTTCTTCTTGACTGGTTCCTGTTCATTCGATTGTGGAGTGTGTGTTTTTTTTTTTTTTTTTTTTTTCCCCTTAATCAAACAGAAAGAGAACGTTACAAGCCCAAGGAGGTGCATTCACTTGTGTCTTCGTCCCTGGCGTGTGCTCAAACTTGTACTTTTCTGAATGCATCCGACTGCAACTATGACCAAATTAGTCAACAGAGAGAGTGACTGAGAGTCCAAGCCTGAGTGTGCTGTTACCGACCTCCAGGGAAGGAGTCCTAGTATGACTCGCCTCGCTCTCCTGAATGCATCTGACTTCAATTACGACCAGATTTAGTCAAGAGGTGTACACATTCCAAGATTGCATCACTATGCCAGACTGTTTCCTCAGAATTTCATCAAGTTTAACTCGACAGGAGGTTGAACATCTGTTTGCACGCGCGTGTGTGTGTGTGTGTGTGTGTGTGTGTGTGAGAGAGAGAGAGAGAGAGAGAGAGAGAGAGAGAGAGAGAG